GTTGTCTTCAGGCACTTTTTACTTCACAGCTTCCAGAAGGGATGATGATTACTGAGAGTGGCACAGCTCTTAGGCATTGTCTATAGGGACCTGACATTAGACTGTTCACTCCAGAAGTCTTCACATAAAAGATAGCTTTTCTTGAGAAAATTTATTTGTAGATTTTAATTTACATTACAGATTTAAAACTGCAGATACCTTTGTCTGAAATCTTATAAAAAGTCAACACTTAGACCCTCTTTCAAATTTTATCATTTTTAGTCCTACATTTTAAAAACCTCTTATAATTCAATAACTGTTCAAAAGATCTTTTCTACATTATGTTTAAAGTACCTCTCTGCTTTTATTCTTACCCAGTTTTACATAAGGAAAGTTTTGTGATTCAGATTCCTATTTGTAGAGTTGATATGATGTATTATGAATTTAGGGTGATTTTTAAGTCTGCCCTACTATGTTCTTTAATAAACAGGATGTCCTAATTTTTTTCCACCTATTAAGATGATGGCATAGTTATGGAAATACTGTCTATAGCTTATATGTTAAACTTCTCAAGTATATTGGTATCCAAACATACCTTTGCTTTTTGTAATGCTGGGAGAAAATAGGCATTTTTTGAAGACTTTACTGGCTAAGAAAATTAAAGTCCTGAAAAGTTAAGAATAAGTGCTGTGTCTAAAGATGGTTGTGAAAAAATTCGTTTTTAACATCAAATTAATGGAGATATGAACAGAGTGGTTCTAGTCAGAGAAATGAAATAATGGGCATTATTTCTTTTAATTTAGTGTGTTTTAAAAGTTGTCATCTCATTGAATACTTTAGTTCTAATTGGCTAACTGCATTTGCAAAGTAATGATGTTGCTTAAAACTGACTATGTGCAGAGAAAGTGTAAAAGATGAACTATCTGCTATTTCTGATTCAATGCACAGTTGTCATAGTTTCCTTTGCTCAATTAAGGAACCACATTTTGGGGGGTTATTTAAATATTAAAGTACATCCGGAAGTTCCATAAATTAAAAATAAATTATTTCTGTTACTGTTTTATATGGAGGCTCCCAAGTTTTTTTCATATCATAGTTAAACTGGAAATTATATAGACTACTTATACTTTTTTTTTTTTTTTTTTTTTTTTTTGAGACGGAGTTTCGCTCTTGTTACCCAGGCTGGAGTGCAATGGCGCGATCTCGGCTCACCGCAACCTCCGCCTCCTGGGTTCAGGCAATTCTCCTGCCTCAGCCTCCTGAGTAGCTGGGATTATAGGCACGCACCACCATGCCCAGCTAATTTTTTGTATTTTTAGTAGAGACGGGGTTTCACCATGTTGACCAGGTTGGTCTCGATCTCTCGACCTCGTGATCCACCCGCCTCGGCCTCCCAAAGTGCTGGGATTACAGGCTTGAGCCACCGCGCCCGGCCAGACTACTTGTACTTAATTACAGTGTGAATAATTATTTTGTCCATTATGTTAAAGTTAGAAGACGACTTTATCTCTTTATGTTTTTTTTTCCTAGATAATCTTGATCCAAATTTAATTATATCCAAAAACAATTTTTTAAAATTATTTTTTTGATACAGAGTCTCACTCTGTTGCTCAGGCTTGAGTTCAGTGGCATGGTCTCAGCTCACTGCAGCCTCCTCCTCCTGGGTTCAAGTGATTCTCCTGCCTCAGCCTCTCAGATAGCTGGGATTACAGGCGTCTTCCACAATGCCAAGGTAATTTTTGGCATTTTTAGTAGAGATAGGGTTTCACCATGTTGGCCAGTCTGGACTCAAACTCCTGGCCTCAAGTGATCCACCCGTCTTGGCCTCCCAAAGTGCTGAGATTACAGGTGTGAGCCTCAAAGAATATTTTTACCAATATATGATATTAAGGGGTTTCTTTGAGTTACATAAGAGTTTACAAAAGAAAGATATGGAATTTTATGTTCTTGATATTTTAAAGAAAAAATGTATTGAGTGCTCATTACTTTAAGCCTTTGAATAACTTTTAACAATCTCTCCACATTCCTACTCTGTTTGTTTATATTCTTTTGTATTACCTTAAGATTGAATTGAATGAAATTTGATTTTTATAGTATTTAATAGTAATTAAAATTATTGATAGAATCAAATATACAAGCTCCTTAAAATTTAACATAAATTGAAAAATGGAAGTAATTTGAATTGGATTTGTTTCAGAATACCATTTTAGAAATCAGTTGGCAGTATTAGCAACATCACTATTATATGAATATATGCTAATGAAGGATGAAAGAAAGGTCCTCATTAAAATCTTGTTGCTAAACAAGTGACAAAAACCTTACAGACAGCTTGAGGCTTCAGGTCAGTCACGTTTACTCCTGAAGAGATTTGGACAAGTGTGAAACTGCATAGATGATGCCTTTGTTGTGATCAGAACACATAAATGCTTTTTTGCACCAGTTCCCTACCAAGGACGTTTTTATTAATATTAGACAAAACAAATCTTAATGCAATGCCTAAGCATCCTATTCTGAGTTTCTCAAGTAACTTAAAATATTGAGTTTGTTAAATTCAGAAAGTAAACATTTGTTAACAGCCATTTTCTCTGTGTTTTCCAGAAAAGGAATAAGATTTGGTTAACTAGTGTGTTTTCATTAGGCAAAATTCATTATCTAATTACCTTTCTTCCAGACATTATTTGGGTGAACTGGTCTGGTGTAGGTATAGTAAGGTGACAGTAAAGGTAAGATGGTGCAGGGTAATCAGCCCATGGTTCATTGCCAGTATTGAACCTGGCAGTTCTCTTAAAGAAGCCTTTAGCTAGATTTAGTTGATTCTGGATTAACTTTGTATACATATTGTTTGAGGATTGCCCATGTCTTTTTATTTGGGATTGTAGTCTTTGCTTATATGAAAGTAGATCTAAACATCATGCTATAAATAGAAAAATTAACATGTAGTAATAGCTAGGCATTCCAGAGTGAACGTTAATTGACTTTTAGATAGCCATGTAGCTACCCTTCAGCATATCCACTGAAAATGAGCTGGCTGTAAGTCTGCTTTGCCTTTTGAGTGTTAGAAAGTCCTTAGTCAAAGGGCACAAAGGAACTTGACTTGGTTTAGTTTGACCTGTGTGCCCAGCTCATCTGCTTCAAGAGGAACAAGAAAATTTGTAGTCAGAATAACAAAGATACTTGATTACATTTAGTGTCAAACAGGCTGGGTTGGAAATGAGAGAGCAAATGGTGGGACTGCTGAGACTAGTGAAGCAGAAGCCAAAGGGAACTAATCCTGTGTGTCCTTAAAGGGGAATACTATGCATCACTCATTTCATGTGATCATGCACATTAAATTATTTGAATTAAAGTCATTTCTAGCATCCCTTGTATCTTGTTCCTATTCCACCAATTTTCTTTGAAGTATCATTGTGGTGTTGTGCGTGGATACAGATATCTATGCTGTAGGAATCTTGTCTCAGCAAAGCCCCCCTAATAAATTTTTTATGCATTTAACAAATCTAATTTTTGGTTTCTTATGGTTTTTAAATATTTTAATGACCTCAGTATGTATTTTCATGGACACTTCTAAAATTATCTGTTTAAGATAATTATAAATAATTTATATTGCTAAGTAACTGGAAGGAAAACACATAGCTCAAGAAAAGAGAAGAATCTTGATTGTTTTGTATTTTAAAAGTTACAAAAGATATTGAGAAGACACTTTTTTTTATTACACTTTTGTAAGGATGATATTTAAGATATGGCTTGGGAATAGTTGTTTACTTATGGTAGATTAGAGGTGGCAGAGTCTGGAACTAGAGCAGCCAGTGATCAGAAGGAGAGACTAGAATAGTTCACGAGAGTAGCTGCAAAAGATGAGGAGCAAAGCCTATTGTCCTGTGTAAGAGATAAGACAGGACTGAGTCTGACCCAAAGCAAACACAAGACAGAGTAGTAAGTGGCCCAGCTGTGGGTAGCATAGGCACCAGGCTTTTCTGGGTTTGTGGTCCTGAAAAGGCAGAATACCCAAGGTGCCAGTACAATTTAAAGGGCAAACTAGCAGAATGGAAATTTGACAGAAAGCCATTTGTAATATCTAGGGCACCTAGAACTTACTTGGAAATGAAGTGGGAGTCCTGTTATTAGAAGTTAAGAAACCATGGCAGGGTTGTGCAAAAGAAGAGGGACGCCTTGATGCCATCAGGTGGGAATCTACCGGCTTTTGTTGCCAGGTACTAAGAAGACATGGAGATACTAGACAGTAGGCACCAATGGCTGAAAACAATTCCTCTTCAAAGGAGGAATCAACTCTTCATATTTATCCTGGACAGTCATGTCCAGGATATCAACAACAGACCACATATATGATGGTGGTCTCATCAGATAATAATGCTGTATTTTTACCGTACCTTTTCTGTGTTTAGAAGTGTTTACATACAAAAGTACTTACCTTTCTGTTATAATTGCCTGCAGTATTCAGTACAGTAACATATGGTACAGGTTTGTAGCCTGGGCTATACCAGATAGTCTAGATGTCTAGTCAGCTGTACCATCTATGTTTGTATAAGTACACCCTGATCCTTGGACCACGATGAAATTGCCAAATGATGCATTTCTCAGACCGTGTCCTCATTGTTAAGCAGGACATGATTGTACTCTTTCTCTACTAGAAATCCTGTCTCAATCCTGTCTCTATGAAGTCTCCTTACCCTTCATCTCAGACGTCCTCTCTCCCTCTTCTCAAATCAAATTTATTTCTACAAAGTGAATATCACTCATCTTATTCTGCCTTTTACTGGTGTACGTGTCTTTTGTTGAGCATGGTACTATGTGTGTAGCACAATCTACATAATAGATGTTCAAGGCTGCAGTGAGCTATAATCGTGCCACTGCACTCCAGCCTGGGTGACAGAGCGAGGCTTTGTCTCTAAAAAGAAAAAATGTGTGTGTGTGTGTGTGTGTGTGTGTGTGTGTGTGTGTGTGTGTGTGTGTGTTTATATAGATGTAGTTACAAGTACTTTTTCCTTCTAAATTTATTTCAGATTTTACCAAATGTTGCAAGGACTCTGGACTTCTTATGGTAATAAAATGTCGGAAAGAAAACTCTGCATTGAAAGAATGTCTAACTGCTTAGTAAGTAGTTACCTCAGTGTTTGTACTTCTGTGTGTATGTGTGTGTGGTAGATAAGAGTATGTTACTTAACTCATTACATGTAATGTATTCTGTACTTCATACCAAATTTATTATGTTGTTGGCTGAATCTGAAGTTCCCGTATAGTGTCAAAAATGCAGCATATTTATGAGTCTTTTCAATTTTTGTCAGCATTGTATCTAATTCAAAAGATGAAGTCAGAAACGAAAGTATATGATTTTTTACCATTCATTGTTTATGAACAGTTTGATCTGTAAAATATAGTGCAGACTGATTTTTGTTTATTCTAATGTAAAGATAACTGAATTAAAATATCTCTGAGACCTTTTACAGCCTTGTGATTTGTTGAATTAATATAATTTGACTCCTAGAAAGTTAAGATAAATTACATAGATGATAAAAAGGTAAATTTAGATTTTTGAAATTAACTAAATTAATTTTTTAAATAGTTATATAATGCCGTGTTTACTAATATTTTGTTGTAGTTCCTTAAATCCAAGTAAAAGATCCCCCCAAAAATTATTTCAATTCACATGTTGATTTATTCACCCACGTTCTATTACCCATATTATTGACAGATATTATTGCAGAATACTTTAGCAAGTATAGTTAATTGAATGTTGAGAGATCTTAGTTTTGGCAAGCCTTTATTTCCTTTAATTTCTGTAGCCTGTGCAGCATGTATCTCAATATGGTATATTTCTTAGGGAATTAAATTAAAAAAGTATTGAGCACCTGAACCCTACATTTTTTTTTATAACAGAGTATGTACACATACATATATAGACATTTTTTTAGAATGGTGTAGTTGGAAGAGACTTTAGGGATTATGTAAACTCATCTCTGTATTTGTAGATGAAACATAATCAATGTCGATGTTTTTTTCTTCAGTTAATAATATCAACAGCAGCCCTTATTTATGGTCCCTATTTATACTCAGTGCTTTACCATAGAGGATTGAAAGTTCATTCTGTGACTTTATATTCTTTCATTTCTATTCTTGAGTGCTTCCAACAACTGTTTACTGAGCAAACGAATCCCTTAAACTTTTGTGTGACTGAATTGTTAAATTCTGTCTCGTATACTAAATAATTTTTATATCTCAAATTCAGTCATCTAATTGTTATTGCTAGTTAGACATACTTTCACTCCAGATGGGGCAGCTCTAGAACAGAGGAGACAGGCATATAGACTGCAGAGAGGGCAACCTGGGTTCAGCTTCCGTATCAGTGACAGCTTAGCTGGCCATGTGACCTTAGGCAGGTTCATTTTAAGAAGTCATAATTATACCTTGTGAATGATTGATTGTGAGGTACTATATATAAACACATTTACTATGATAGGTATTCAGTAAATTTTAGCTTTTGATTAGTATTTTTTACTGTTTATCTGAATATTAATCATTTGAATATCCTTCTCTCTTTCACACCCTAGAAATATGAGGAGAAAATAACAGATTCTAGTCCACCTGAGGGGAGGGGAAGGGCTGGGAAGGATGGCTGTTTCTGCTTGTTTAGAAGAGATAAGCAGTGAAGGAAACAAAGAAGGATTTGACAGTTACTGAAAGTAAATGGAAAATTATTAAGGAAAATTTTACTCGACTTTGGGTCCCCAGATACACTAAGAAATATTTTTTCATCTTTAAATAAGGTGTTCTTGTTAATTACTATTGACATTTCCATGAAATGAATGTAACTGCTCTCCTCTCTCATCTTGAAACATTAATGGCTTGTGCTCCTTTTTTTCTACCTCTTACCTTCATTTTTTCCTTAAGACACTATGATCTGATTTCTGTCCTCACTTCACTGAACTTGCTCTTTTTAAAGGCTCTAATGGGCTGATGGTAGCCAAATCCAACAAATTGTTCTTTCTCTTTTACTTCACCTGTCTCTGCCAATCCCATCTTAAAAGTCTCCGTCTTCCCTGATAATACTTTTCCCCATTTCCCCAGCATCTCTCTGTACTTCTCAACATTTTCTTTCTTAATCTACTCAATTAAGTTGGTGTTTCCCTAAGTTCTCTTCTCATTCTAAAATCTGAGAAAGTTTATTTTGGCCGGGCGTGGTGTCTCACGCCTATAATCCCAGTACTTTGGGAGGCCGAGGCGGGTGGATCGTGAAGTCAGGAGTTCAAGACCAGCATGGTCAAGATGGCAAAACACGGTCTCTAACAAAAATACAAAAATTAGCTGGGCATGGTAGCAGGCGCCTATAATCCCAGCTACTCGGGAGGCTGAGGCAGGAGAATTACTTGAACCCAGAGGGTGGAGGTTGCAGTGAGCCAAGATCGGGCCACTGCACTCCAGCCTGGGCAACAGATTGAGACTTTGTCTTAGGAAAAAAAAAAGGAAATAACATTTGTTTCTTTGTCCAAGTCTAAAACTGAACTTGGCTCCTTTTGCTTGGCCTACAGCATGTCTGTGAATTATACAGTAGTCTAGTATCTACAGTCTTGTTGCCTAACTCAAATTGGTTATTCCTATTGATTTCTGCACTTTCCCCACATCATCACTTCCTTTTCATTCCTGCAGCTCCTCCCTTGGCCTGTGTCGTCATCATTTTTTGCCTGGTTTATTTTAACAGTTTATTGGAGATCTTGCCTCTAACCTTGCTTGCCCCCTTTTGTCCTGTCTGCCACATGTTGTCAAGATTCATCCAAGACGCAAAACTGATCTTACAGGTGCAGTGCTCTTATTAACTGTGCCCCATTTCCTTTGGTATAGATTTTAATTTCTTAGTATAGCATAAATGGCACATCACGATTTGACTTTTACCCATTCCCTCTTCATTTCAGGCCTTTTCTTCTGTGTGCATCATCTGCTAGAGTGATATACCCCTCCACTTGCAGTTTTTCATGCATCAGTTTTTCTCATCCATGTGCCTTCCCACTCTTGCCTTCTATATGGATTCCTGTTGGTCTTTCAAAGTGCAACTTAGGCATTTCCCCTTGATATCTCTGCCTTACCCATTTTTCCATGTTTCCATGGTACACTGGGCCATACCTCTGTCAGAGTATTTTGTATACTTAATTGTAATCTGGTCTTTATTTGTCTGCCCTATAACACCATGGGCTTCCAGGACAGGAGCTGTGCTTCTCATTCTCTATCCTGTGACAGTGCTATATACAAATGAGTGATTTGGTCTTTAGTTTGCTAGCGTAATGTTAACAGTGAATTTGTAACCATTACTAAAAGTCTGCTTCTAAAGATTGAGCCTGATGAACCAGATGTCTGAATATGAGTAATTAAAGTAAGCTTACATTTAACACATGCAAGATTATTTAAAGTATTTTTGTTTCCTTCTCATAGCTATACTGATCCAGCCTTTTATGAAGAATGCAAAATGGAATACCTGAAGGAAAGGGAAGAATTCAGAAGAACTGGAATTCCTGCAAAGAAAAGGCTACAGAAGCTTCCCACAAGCATGTAGGCAGATATTCAAATGACATTCAGGAAATCTAACATTCATGGAAGTCATTTTATAGTATAAGTCACCTTAAATAATGGACTGAAAATAAGAATGTGTGTTTGCTTTATCTTAATTATGGAAATATTAATTTTATCTGAAATAAATACTTTATTTCAAAGTTCTGTTTTCTTAAATGGGGAAGGAGTAATTACTCAAGTGGGATTTGGATTTCCTGGTCGTTGTGGGCCTTTTAAAAGTTTTCCCACTACTGTAGTTCTGTAACAGTGATACTGATTTTTTAGAGTTCAATATTGACCTTACATTACTTTTCTTCCAATGTATAGGCTAATGGCTAATCATGGGAGCCAAAACTAAAGAAAAGTAGGAATGGACAACTTTCAAAGGTGTTAATAATAACTAGGGAATATAGCAGAATAAGCATGAACCAGAATCCTACCTGGTTCTACCACTTACTAGCTATATGACTGTGGAAGTAAATCTAATACAGCATGTGAGGATTTACTGAGTATTGCAGGTACAAGTACTGTGTATAAGACAATGTTTCAGCGCTGGTAGATGCTTTTATATTGGTAGTTACTGTTATTAGTAGCACAGGCTTATTTGGAAACTATCTTAGTCCATTTTCTGTTGCTATGGGAGAATACCTAAGACCAGGTAATTTTTAAGAAAAGCTTATTTGGCTTACAGTTCTGGAGTTTATTTGCCAGCAGCTTCTGGCAAGGGTTTTCATACTGCATCAAAACAACAGGATGAAAAAATAGAAGGACAAACAAGTGTGTGCAAGAGACCAAGCTGAGCAAGCTTTTGTAACAACCCACTCTCTTGAGAACTTATGCTTGCAATAACGGCATAAATCCATTCATGAGGGCTCCACCTTCATCACCCAATTACCTCATAAAAAGCTCGATATTGGGGCCGGCGTGGTGGCTCATGCCTGTAATCCCAGCACTTTGGGAGGCCGAGGCAGGTGGATCACGAGGTCAAAAGTTCGAGACCATCCGGTCAACATGGTGAAACCCCATCTCTACTAAAAATAGAAAAAAATTAGCTGGGCATGGTGGCGAGTGCCTGTAATCTCACCTACTCAGGAGGCTGAGGCAGGAGAATTGCCTGAATCCAGGAGGCAGAAGTTGCAGTGAGCCGAGATCGCGCCATTGCACTCCAGCCTGGGTAACAAGAGCAAAACTCCGTCTCAAAAGAAAAAAGCTCGATATCTTAATACTGTTAAATTAGCCATTACGTTTCCAACAAATGAATTCTTGTGGGACACACTTAAACCACAGGAGAACCACAGGTAAGGAGATACATACTTAGGTGAATTAATTTTACTTACATCTTTGATGGAGAATTTTCTAAAGCGTATGTATGTTCTTAACCTGGTAACTTGACTACTGAATCCTTTAATCTTTCATTTTGAAAAGTTATTTTTCTAAGTGAATTACCATTCTGTAACATAGTAATGGACTTAGGAAGTAGTATAAAAATTTCCGTCCCAATTTAGTAATTTGAGCTTTCATAATAAAAGTTATTTCCCCCTCCCCATGAGCCATTTTAACTAATTTCAAGCCATTGTAACTAGTTTCAAGATAAGTAAATTTTATTTTTATTTTCACAGTCCTCATTAAAATCACATATAGAAATTATTGTGCACTAAGACAAGGTTTAACTTTGGCTCCAATCCCATGAAACAGATGTGAGATTTTTTTTTTTTTAAGGACTTAAATAGGACCCTAAAGAATCAATAGGTGTTCAAGTTCCACACTTTACTCTTGAGTGAACCACTCAAAAAACTATTTTACTCTTATTTGAAATACAAAGAACCCACATTTTCCCAGGCCACAGATCAAAAGAAAGATTACTAGAGCAGACAAAAGCAAAGCAAATATAGAAATCTAGAGACCACACAGGATAGGGGTAAAGATGCCTGTATTTCCACATTGACCTTTTGGTATTGGTGCATTTCCTAGAGCACAGGACCTTAACTGTTTTTAGAGGTAACTCAAATGAATATGGAATTTAGTTGAAGAAGCTAGTGAAATATACAATCTGTGACTATTTTATAGCTTTGATTAAAATCAGAAGTAGCCCACTTCATGTGGAAATTCACTTATGTACATGTTGCTTTCCCCACAGAAGCCAAATTATATAGTATCAACAATATATTCATCTTTATGTCAAAGATGTAACCTTCAGAATACCCATGCATATCCATACTGAATTTTTTCACTAGGTACATCTGCCTCAGTTGTGTCTTGCTTGCCTATTGGTGCCTGTTATTATTCCATTCATGTGATAACCCACATTTTTCCCGCTTAAGATACACCTTCTCTAAGTAGCCTTTCTGAATATAAGTACTTTCTTGTCACATTATTCAGTTTTTCAAGTCTGAATTTTCCCATTTATTTTGGTTTTCTGTTTTACATAGGCACACTCTTGCTTTTAAGAATTCAGTTCCATTTTGGCAGCAACTCAGTAAGTCTTCTACAGAGATATGCATTTTTACTTTAGTTAATAAGGGAGCAAGAGGAAGAAATTAATAGGTGGGTTTTTCGTTATTTATGTTCTCTTCATTCTGTTGATTTATGGATGTACTGAATTGAATCTTACAAAAGTAAATCTAAAGATTCAAGGAAGCTCTTTGGAGCAAGTTTCAGCTAGTATGAAATAAGTCAACATAAAACCTTCAATAGGCAACTGTTTTTGTTTTGTTTTGTTTTTGAAATTTTCCTACAGCAGAGATGATCAAGTGTACATTTTAAAACTTCTAGCTGGGTAAAAAATTTTGGGGTTAATCTTTCCTTATTAAAGAACCTTATACATATCTGCCTAGCACTTTAAACTGTCACAATCAGTCACTGACTTTTTAGTATACCTGTTTGATAGCTATCATCACTGCACTGTTTAGATGGAAAATAATTTTCTCCACTCAAAAGCAGTTGGTTTAACAAATGTCTATTATATGAATCATATTAACAACCAACAGTTAGTGCCAGACTTTTGAGATATAATAGGCAAGGACAATATTTCACATCCACTTCAATTTCAAACAAAAATAATTTATTTTAATTAAACAATTTCTTGGTATTGTTCAAAACATTAGTCAAGCAATTATCTCATAAGACTTTTTTTTTTTACAAAGGAAAATTTCCAATTTTGGTTTTAAAAAAGGCAAACCAGTAAGCTACATTAGAGATCAGATGTAATATACAGCCTATGCAGCCACATGAGAAATAGTTTTTGCTGCTTTGTTATTACACAGGTAGTTGCTTCCTTCAGCTAAAGCCTGGAGTATTGTATTTGTTTTATGCATATTGGGTTTGGTTCTATTACTTGGCAGGAGATTGTACTCCCTTGAGTCAGCTGTGTTCATTGGTCAGAATAAATTCCAGCATCTGACACCAATTCCATTAATCACAGACAAGCTTGAATAAGTGTAAGATAATAGAAATACAAAAATATCTGGTGAATGGTGAACATTGTCTTACGTATGTATGCTATTCAGTAATACAGTAGAAGAGATCTGAGATATTCTTTTGAGTATGAGATATATGAAACTCTATCAAAAAGGATAAAGTCCTCCTACATAAAATACTTTAACTCAGGCAGAAAGTGTATTAACCAAGTAAATCTCCAACCTGAAAGAATTTAGATGAATTTCCATTTGAAGCCATCTTTGTTATTTCCTTTTTTGTTTACAAGCAATTGGCCACTTAGAATGACTGTGTGGATATTTCATGATTGATAATATCAGTACAGCCCAACATTTGATTTCTATGGTTAAAACTCCTAAAGCCACTTTCTCAATAAATAGAATATTACATTTCAACACAGGGTCTAACAGTTTAGAAGCTGCTCTACCTAACAAGCAGCTGTAGACTCTTTGAAGAAAATGACTTTTTATCATTACACACATGTATTTAGGTTTATATAATGGCCTACTGAAGTGGCAGATTAGACTGAAACCTGTGTGAATGCTCCTTCTACTTCTAACTGAATGGTGTATGGAGTTAGAATCATTTGTTTACACCTCACAGAGTTTTTCAACTATTTCATCATAAATTTTTTTTTTTTTTTTTCCAATTAGGACTTACGGAATGTACCAGGACAAAGTTGGCTTCAATGATTAGGTTATTTCATATCTTAGAATTCAAACTGCAATTCTAAAATTTTACCAACAAAACACTAAGAAATCACTTTAAATCTTAAACGTTGAAACACAGTAGCATATAAAAGTGGTATAACCTAAGAATCTTTTATTTCACTATATTTTCCATCTTTAGGCATTGTAACAACAGAAATGTAACCTATTCATATTGCCATTTGTTCCATTATGCAATTCGAAGCAACACACAGTTTCTTTTTATTTTTATGAACAGATATTTAGACATTTCACACACTTTGTAAAACCACATCTAAAATCTCCAATTCCATTCTTTTATTTGAGAGGCAAAATTTCACAGTTGTTATCGAAAGGAGAGTTCTCATTTTTAAACACCTTAAGTTTACTTATTAGTATAGTAGCATATTTTGGATTCTTAGAATACAGAGTTAGAGGGTGCTCATCATACTGGAAAACCATGTTGGTTTTTTTATCTTGTACAGTATGTTCAAATATAGATACTGAAGAACTCTGCAAAATTTTAATCAAAATTCCCTTTCAGTTCCTTAAATATCGGGAGAACCACGGAAAGAGATGTGTCCTCATGGTCAAATCATGAATCTCTTCCAAATTAATTCTTATAAAGGCAGTTTTGATTATGTTGATCCAGGTAATGCAGTGGTGGAAGGTTGGATAAAGGCAAAGTTTTACTTTTAGTCTCTCCAAATGCTGTCTCACTTGATTTAGGAGGGCTTGGAAATACCCAGGAATTGTCTTCCAGAGAATTTCTGCCATAAGAACTGTGTTCCTGAAAGCATGTACCATCATTAGGAATGGATCTCTCATTATCTGTCCATGACTGGAGGACTGCTTTCTCTGATAAAATCTTTATATCTCCTGGTAAAGGGGAAGATGCAGTATGACAAAGAGCTTTGCCATTCGGTGAGAGAGGGGGATGTCTTGTGTATGTTGCAGTAAAATTCATCAAGTGCAGTTTTGTGCTGTCTTTTCCAAGGTCTTCACTGCATCCTACAGGGGCACAGACTAAAAAGAAAACA